CAGACAGAGGGCATTAACAGACATTCCATTAAAAGAGATACACTGTTTACATTCACATTAATTCACATTAAAAGATGTTCATCAGCTCTTAGGGAAATGCAAATTATAACCACAATAGATATCATTACAATTATATGACAATAGCTAAATTAAACACACACACACACACACACACACACACATTGTGGCAAGAATGCAGAGGAACTGGATCTATATATTGCTGTTGAATATGCAAAATAATGCAACTACTCCAGACCAGAAAAACCTATGGTATTTTCTGGCAAAACTGAACATATGCTTACCGTGTGACTAAGTAGTTGCACACTGTGGCATTTATCCCAAAGAAAGGACAATTTATTGTCATACAAAGCCTGTTAAACAATGCTCAAAGGGGCATCTGGTGGCTCAGTTGGTTGTGCATCTGGCATGCTTTGGGCTCAAGTTGTGATCCCAAGGTCATGAAATTGAGGCCCACATTGGGCTCCTGAGCATGGAGTTTGCTTAAGATTCTCTTAATGTCTCTCCCTCTGCCCCTCTCCCCCACCTGTACTCTCTTTATCTCTCTAACATTAAAAAAAATGCTCATAGAAGCTGTAGTCCTAATAATTCAAAAACTATAAAGGACAACCCAGATGTATGTCAACAGGTAAGTGGTTCAAGAAACTGTAGTACATTTGTGCCCTAGAATATTACTCAGAGATAAAAAGACACAGAGTATTGATACACTCAACAACTTAGGTGGATCTTAAGGGAATAATTTTGAGTGAAAAAAAAAATTTCAAAAAGCTTGCATATTGTATGATCCTTTTTACCTAGTATTCTTGAAATAACAAAATTGCAGAGATGGAAAATAGATTAGTGTTTGTCAAATGGTTGCAGAGGGAGGCCATGGTAATAAAAGTACAGTTCTATCTAGTGATAGAACTGTTGAGTATCTAACTGGTGCTGGTTATATATGATAAAATTGCATAGAGCCAGAGACACTCACACACACACACACACACACACACACACACACACACACACACAC